GTTTTAGGGTGAAAAATGGGGATTTTGGGAAAAAAATGGGGATTTTAGAGGTGAAAAGGGGACTGGGATGGACTGGGATGAACTGGGAATGGACTGGGAATGGACTGGGATGGACTGGGAGGAACTGGGATCAACTGGGAGGGACTGGGAGGAAAAAACCCGGCGGTTTTAGGGTGAAAAATGGGGATTTTGGGGTAAAAAAATTGGAATTTTTGGGGTGAAAAGGGAAGTGGAATGAACTGGGATTAAACTGGGATAAACTGGGATGAACTGGGTTATACTGGGATCAACTGGGAGGGACTGGGAGGAAAAAACCCGGCAGTTTTAGGGTGAAAAATGGGGATTTTGGGAAAAAAATGGGGATTTTAGGGGTGAAAAGGGAACTGGGAATGAACTGGGATAAACTGGGATTAAAATGGGATAAACTGGGATGGACTGGAACAAACTGGGATGAACTGGGACAGACTGGGAGGGACTGGGAGGAAAAAACCCGGCGGTTTTAGGGTGAAAAATGGGGATTTTGGGGTGAAAATGGGAGATTTAGGGGTTGAAAGGGAACTGGGATGGACCGAACTTGTACTGGTTTAAACTGGTTTTTACTGGTTTGAATTGATTGAAAGTGAATGAGTTTGTGTTGGGTTAAACTGGTTCAAACTTGTTTAAGCCAGTTTAAATTGGTTTATACCGGTTTATATTGGTTCCAACTGGTTTAAACTGGTTTTAATTTGGTTTATACTGGTGCAAACTGGTCCATACTGATCCAAACTGGTTTTTACTGGTTTGAATCGGTTCAAAATGAACGGGTTTATACTGGTTAATGCGGTTTAAATCGGTTTATACTGATTCAAACTGGTTTAAACTGGTTTTTACTGGTTTGAATTAGTCCAAACTGAACTGGTTTATATTGGTTCAAACTGGTTTCAACTGGCTTTAATTTGGTTTTTACTGGTTTAAACTGGTCCATACTGGTCCATACTGCTTTAAACTGGTCCATACTGGTCCAAACTGGTTTAAACCGGTCCATACTGATCCAAACTGGTTTAAACCGGTCGAAACTGGTTTAAACGGGTCCAAACCGGTCCATACTGGTCCATACTGGTTTAAACCGGTCCAAACTGGTCCATACTGGTTTAAACTGGTCCAAACTGGTTTAAACTGGTCCAAACCATTCCATACTGGTTTAAACTGGTCCAAACCGGTTTAAACTGGTCCAAACCATTCCATACTGGTTTAAACTGGTCCAAACCGGTTTAAACTGGTCCAAACGGGTCCGTACTGGTTTAAACTGGTCCATACTGGTGCAGGACCCTGGCCCCGTACATGACGGACTCGGTGACCCACGTGGTGACAGCGCAGGACTGGGACCCCGCCTTCGAGGAGGTGTGGCCTGCGGTGGGCGTGGCCGGGTGGGCGTGGCCTTTCCCTAAGTCCCCGCCCCTTTAACGCCAAGCTCCGCCCCCTTTAGGCCCTGGAGCTCCGCCCCTCTCTGACCTTCGTGCGCCCCCATTGGCTGCTGCTCTGCGGGGAGCGCCAGCGCCCCCTGCCGGCCCAGCCCTTCGCTGTGGTGCCCCGCGAGTGACGTCATCGTGACGTCATCGTGACGTCATCGTGACGTCATCGCCCCGCCGGGGTCGGACGAAACGATTTTGGGTGAAAATAAAGAGATTTTGGGTAAAAAAATTCCAAGAGGTTTGGTCAATCTATGGGGGGGTGGGGCCCACTCCAATGGGCGTTGCCCCTTTAAGAAATATTGATTAATTAATAAATATTAAAAAAACAATTAAACAAATCCATCGATAAATAGAAATTAGTTAATTTGCGTGTTAATCTACACAAATACTTAAACATACAAATTTATTTACCTGAAATACAATTAACGTAATGAATAAATTTAAATTAAGACACTGTGACCCTCCCACGGCATTGCCCCTTTAAGGAATATTTATTAATAATAAAAAGTAATAAATATATTTAAATGCACTCAGGTATTAATATCTATAAATAAATTTGTGCGTTAATTTGTATAAATGGATATATAAACATATAGATTTATTTAAATTAAATATTTTAATATGATAAATATACTTAAATTAAAACACGGCGCCCCTT